TCAATTGTGGTGGTGGTTAGTGTTTTGCTATTATTGAGGAATACGTCACTTTTGTTTTTGGTTAATTTTAGGAGTTACCAACTTCCAACACAACAACAATTTCCAATTCCTTTTATGGGTTGTTTTGTTTGTCTCATGAATTATTATAGATCTTTTGACACTTTATAAAGAAGATTATGAAACCAACAATACCAAACATTAGGGAAATAAATTATATACGCACCTTTTTTCACCGTATCTTATAACTTAAATGGCTATAATGGATTTTTTTTTTTTGGTTCAACAACAATAATATCCATTCCATTCTTAATATTTTACACAACATATTCCATTTCCACAATATTTTTGATCCATTTTGACACTAAAGAAAAGAGCTTGGGGACCTAGTTCTCGAATGAGATAGCCTCACGTGCTATTCTATCGCCCATTCGATTACATTAATTCTTGACGGTAAAAATCCACATTAATCACGTGCTGTTTATGTCTTTAGCGATTGGGTTGAGAGTTGGTCTTTGATATTGTCCTTCTATAGTCTTCACTAAGATATGGGAATCAGATTCAAAAAGGAAACTATCATAGCCCAAGGATCTTACCATTAGCATAGCCCATCTCAAAGCCTATGCTTCTGTGTGTAGTGCTGATCTCAACCTTGACATTGCCTTTGCTCCCAACCACAGTACTTTACCTCTACAGTCTCGTAGTACTTAACCAATTCCATTGATGTTTCCTTCCTTTCTCCAAGCTCCATCAATGTTTTGGTCAATATATGGTTTTTATCGGCAGGAAAATATTAGTTTAAGCAAAAATTAAATAGTTCGAGTATGATTTACAAATCAACACAATTCAATAGCTCAAAGAAAGTCAGCTATTTCATATCCCAAGTACGGAGATATATTCGATTTATATTTAAAGTATATCAAAGTAATAAAACATATTTTAATTAAAAAAATATTTAAATTTACTACCTAAGAATTTAATTTTGTATACATTCATACATTGACCGTAAAAAGAGTTAAACATCTTTAAACTGTGATGACGTGGATGCCACGTGTGAAACAAACTCGGTTATTTTAAACCCAAAGTAAGGAGTTATGTTCAATTTATACCCGCTACATACCCCAACTAAATAAAGATTCAAATTTACTACCTAAACTTTTCGTACCGTACAAAACCATACATTTAGTGTTAAAATATGGTTAACTTATCATGATATGAACATCATATATAAAAAATGTTCTTATGTTTGAAACGAAAAATTAAAAAAGAAAAGAAACTCAAACGACATCATTTTATAGGAATTAACTTAAT